CCCCCCCCAATTCCAGCCTACTGGGGCCGATACACTAGCCACATTAGCCCTGCTGAACTACTTATGATAGGTTTTCATCTCTGTACCAGTTTCCTATGCCTGGCATGCCCTGCACATACCCACTACCATCTCTTTCTCACATAGTCTTCAGGACTCAATTCAGCATAGTTGGATGCCAATCTCTGGTTCCTCTGAGTTTCCATAGGAATTAGGTGAATTTTAAAAATTTTATTAAATTTATTGGGATGACATTGGTTAATAAAATTATATAGGTTTCAAGTGTACAATTCTATAACATATAGTTTCTAACGGTATTAGGTGAATTTCTTGGAAGGGATATCTTTCCCCTGTATACTTAGCCCCCCCCCCGCCATTATAACAAGCATTCAGTGTTTGGTGAGGAAGTCAGTTAATATCTACTGTGTTTCATAAGAAATTTGAACAATTGTATTTTTCCACAATTCTAATACAGAATAAATGCTTGTTCTTTATGGAAAAACAAAAAAATAAATAAAATTATCCTTTGACATTTGGGAAAGAAGTATACTTAAACAAAAACTGAATTCTAAAATGTGACTTCACAGAGCAGATAATTAGAGGTATTATAGAATGGTTAATTGCTCTATAAATAATTATACTGTATTTACTTGTCTTGGGGGTCTCTGTGCAATTAAGTATTTGTTTACTGGTTACTGCTTCATATAAATAGTAATCATTAATTTAGCACATATATTCTGTGTACTTTCTGTTAGTTAGATTTTATGCTTAAGTGCTTAAATGAAAAAATGTGGGTTCTATTATCAAGGAAGCCCACAGCCTAATGGAGAGACAAATATGCAAACAAATGATTACAGCTCTGTGTTGGAGGCTGGGGTATAGAATAAAGAGGAAGAATGTGTGGCTAAACCTCGAGGTAGGGAGATTTTCACTTTTAGATTTGTTTATAATTTAAAACTTATAGGAGATGGATAAGACAGATGGTTTGACTTTGGGTGTGGGCACACAGTGTAATATGCAGATCTTGTATCATATTAAAACCTGTATGATCCTATTAACCAGTGTCACCCCAGTACATTTAATAAATTAAAAAATAATTTTTAATATGTATTTCTATATTATACATGCTTTCACAAAATGTGTCTTGGTAATATTCATAATAACTTTATAAGGAAACTACAAATACTTGGTAAATATTAGAGTAAATAAAACCTGAGTTTTGAATGCAGTTTTTCTTATTGGCATTTTCATAAAAACATGTATGCCAAAGGTTTAATATGTAAAAATTTCTTTAGTGATAAACAGAGAAGAAAAATTATTGCCCATATTAACTATATATTGTTTGTAAACTAGGAAATAAATATTTCTTGCCATTTACATTAACAGAAGAACATGCTATATGGTTGTGTCCAAATTAAGCATCATATTAAACTATATTTATGTAATTAAATGGATTGTTTAAAAACTACTTCTAATTTTTTTGTTTCATCAGAGTATCTAGAAACAAATCTGAAAAGAAACGTAGAGATCAATTTAATGTTCTCATTAAAGAATTGGGATCCATGCTTCCTGGTAATGCTAGAAAGATGGACAAATCTACCGTTCTACAGAAGAGCATTGATTTTTTACGAAAACATAAAGGTAAATTTTTAACTTTGTAAAATGGATTTTTTTTTTTTTTTTAAATAATGGACTCTCCCTTAAAGCATAATGTGATAGAATCTTGGCAGTGATGCTCAAGACTGGATGCTTGCGAACCTTTTTTAAGTGAAATCAATTGCTTTTTAAAAGATTTCCTGATATTTTTTTTTCTTTCATTCAACAAACATTTATTTAGTGCCTAGTATATCCTAAATTCTCATGGTACAGGGTAACAGTCCTGGCTCTCAAGTAACTCAGGCCAAGGGAGACAGATATCTAAACAGCTAATTACAATGCATATAATTATAATGGGTAGAGTGCTTGTAAACCTTAAACTTGTTAGGAAAACACAGAGGAAACAATGTGTCAGGGAAGACTTAAAAATAGTTGATTTTTTCATCTGAGTCTTCCTTTTAGATTAAGGAAAACAGCATTTCACACAGAAAATAGCATGTGCAAAACAGAGAAGCAGGGAGAGTTCAGTGTAACGAGCATAGTTTGAGTTGGAAAGTTATGGGCATGTTTGAAAGAAAGGCAAGAGCCAGGTTGTAAGGCCCTTATATGCCATTTTAAAAGATTGTTTCAGTGTGTATCTCGGAAATAAACATGTTTAAATTAAAGTGATTATTTCTTAATCAAGGAAAATCGTTTTGACTACATAAATCATGAAAATTTAAAGAATATTAAGTATTTTTGTAACAGAGATAATATATGAAAAAATTGTAAAAGGCCATTTCCTTTTTCCGATGTAAATGAAACTGCAAAACTTCTCAGAAGAAGGATTTGTGATTAGTGCCTCTATTTACTTCTCCCTAGCTCGTTCAGTAATACATTAGTAGCCTGGTTCATGCTCCAACACTTTTTGAAATTATTTTTGTTAACTTCACTAGTGCCAATACCCCTCATCTCCTCTGCTGCCAATAAAGCAATAGCTTTTCTTATACCTCCTTCTCTTCTGGATGTCTGAAGCACTGGAAATTTTAGTCCACCCTCCACTGGCTGGCTTTTTTCCTTGGCCTGTGTTACAGCACTTTTTCTTTCCTCTCCCCCCTTCCAACTGAAGCTAACTCCTTCCATCCTCTTTCTTCTTCCGCCCTCTAAATGTGATATTTCTCAAGGTTTTATCTTTTGTGTTCTTACCTTCTCTACACTCTTTCCCTTGGTTATCTCATTCCATAGCTTCAGCTGTGGGCTCTCTATTAAACTACTAAGTCTTTATTTTAGATGCAAACTTTTCAGTCTTTTATTTCCAGATAACTTCTGGATCTTTCTTTTGCATGTCCTCAAATTCAGTGCATCTGTGACTGAATTCATTTTCATTTTGTCCAATCACCTTTCTCTCAACTTTTCTTTTGCTTTATTGATTTCAGAGAGGGGG